AGTGTTGCCGCTTCTATCGAAAAGTAGCAACAACTTTGTTATTTCAAATAAAATACCCTGTATTTCATCGCATTTTCATATTCTTTCTGAAAAGCTGATTTCATCGATACATCATACTTTGGGTTTATTAGAAATAATAAAAGAGATAAAGGGATTTTTCAACTTTAGGATTTGTTGGTGTCGAAACTATATCCATTAACGGCCAAAACGGCTAACCTGTCCCTATTTCAACTTCTGATTCACTATTTACTAATATTCAGTCAGAACAGATACATGATGATCAGAATTGTCAATCTTGAATCACCCTGTATCCGTTCCGATTAAATATCAGTAAATAGTGAATCAAAAGTTGAGATATAGGGACATGTAAGCCGTTTTGACCGATAATGAATATTTTCGACACAAAAAACCCAAGTGTGATGTATTGATGAAATCAGCTCTTCAGGAAGAATCTGAAAATGCTAAAAATTCAGGGTGTTCCATTTGAAATATCAATGTAACTAATACTTTCTAGTAGAAGCGGCAACACTGCATTGTCGAATATATTCTGAATGAAGAGAGCGTATTCTGGAATATAAGCATGCACATTTCCATATATTTCTCCAGACTGATTCTTGATATAAAGATAGTGTAAGCCATTGTCGTGTTTCATCTTTAGTGTTATTAGTTTTAATTTCACGAAACTGAACACATTAATTTTAGTTTTCAAATCGGAAAAGTTGAATAGTAACAAATACATGTTCCTTTCTCAACTCTAGAAGTTGTCTGTGAAAACGAAAACAAGAATCGGGAAGTTTAATTGCTATGTCTCATCAAAATGTTCGAGAATATAATTATCGAGTCATTAATACAGCATCTGAAACGTGAAACTATTGTCATTCATTAGAGATGAGAATAACCAGAATCCCCCACTCTGATTTGATGAAGTTCCCGTATTGTGCTTTGTCTGATGTATAATATGTTTGTTCAGTGTTTGATACAAGAACTTGAATTGGAAGTGTTACAAAGTAGTATCAAGTATATTCGTAAAGGTGAGTTTATATTATCAGTCAAAAATGTCTTGTGTTTTTTCGTTCTCAGATTGATTAATTTGAAATGATTATTGTGATTGAGTTCATAATCTAGAATAGTCTAGATACTTGGATTTTTTCATGAATAGGTACTCAATTTTGTTATTCATTTATATTTGCTTCAAAACAACTAGCAGTACTGCAAGACAGAGGAGTGAAGAAATATCTTATTAGATATTTGAATCTTCAAAAAGCTACAACGAAAAATCGTTTGCAAGAGTGTGGAAGTTACATGAACTTCTATACCCTCTTGTTGAATGCAAAAAACGTTTAGGAAACTATGTATGTAAATATGAAAGTGATATCGACGTTTTTTATTCATATTTTACGCTGTTCCAGAAAGTCAATCAGGAAAAAATGGAACCACTGCCCACTTGATATTTTTTCTGTACAAGTTCTAAGAATTTCAATGATCATCAGTTCAAGAAGACGGCAATACGCATTGGAAATTAGTTGCCTATTGAACCCAATTTTTGAAGCAATGTAACATTCTGGTGACAATTCGAAAAAAAAAAGAGAGAAAGTCAAGTCTTGAAAATATTCCAGAGCTGTCATGAAGTTTAACTCACCTCATAGAAGATTGCCCTGCCTTAATAACCAACTGAACAGTATCGCTTCAGGTTATTATATTAAATTGATTTCATATTCACTTCCTAGTGGGTAGAGTAACAAATATTGGAATAAAAACCAGATAAAGGAGTTGTATTCGATCAAGTCGATAATACCTCTGATATGACGATTCATATCACAAAGTGTTAAGTTCATTCCATCATAATCTATTGATTTACCGTAGGAATTGAGTAAAGTATATTGAGAAAACATTTTTCAATGATTCAATACTAATATTCCGTAAAAGTGTCATCTGAATACTTCCACAAACTCTAGTACTCTATATGTTTCTCTCATAAAAATGATATGTAAATATTTTCATGTCTATATGAACGAGTTGATTTCATTACAAGAGAAGAGCTAATAAAGTGATCACTTTCAATAACAAATTAATTCATCAAAATTGGAGAAGGTACTATACACTGATAGAAAAAGGCTTGTGATATTATCAAATCAAATCACAAATCCAATAATCTATCATAGTGGAGAAAATGAACCTGATGATCACTTTTGACCTTTCCTGAGATATTGTTGGTGATTCTAAGTACTATATGATTTGATCAAATCACAATATTTTCTGAGCATATAACTCTTATAAACGTCTTGTTCTAAATGCTCACCCGACTTATTACATTCTCACCTACAGGATATTTCATGACTTCCACTATTTTATTCACTGTACTTTTAAAAATGTGAAGCATGGATAATACGAATTCAGCAGTTATTCTGCTGTCGACAATTAACAAAGGTAGGGTAGACTGTGTGATGACTTATTCCACATACTATTTGTGTATATTCATAATCTCATTCCTATACAGTATTATAGGAAAATATTTTCTCGAGTTCATGCACATATTTAGGATATACCCTGTATAAACAATTCACCGATTTCTACCTCTGGATTACCTACTGAAAATACAGAATATATTCAGATCAGAATAATCAGATTCATTGGGTTGAGTTCGAAATATAATATAGAACTCTGAATCACTTGTTCGAAATATAATTTCTATCGTCTAATCCCACTGGCAAACTCGGAAATCCCTAGGAAGTTTCGCGAAAATAGCAATAAATTCTAATGGGACATGAATGTGGAAACCACATTACACAGCAATTAAGTTCAAAGAGATTCTCGCCAGTATTGACTTGCAGGAATTCATCTTCAAAATTCAGGAGAAACTCCTGATTTCGGAGTTTTAGTGGTGTTACCTCAAATAACGTGCAGATCAATAATTGAACCGCAATAAGCATATTTTGGCACTCAATTCCACAATGAATATTTTCGCAAATATACTTCTCATATACAGAGTGACCCATTTGAAAGCGGACCACCCCTGTATCTCACGTAATCGTTGGGTAAGGATCATGAAATTTGCTGGAGCGAGAGATATACCAAAAATGCACTCTATGACCAAGTGGGGTCATCTTCAGTGATATACACTGCTCGCCAACAGCCATGGAACCACCCCAATTTCCGGAAAATGATATTAGGAGTCGAAATAGGTTGAAAATCACTTCGGATTCGAAATCAGGACGCCCAGTTCACTAACTCTTCATATTTTTCCTTGAAAATTTTCAGTTCTGAAAAATCAAATTTTGTCGCACTTTTCACGGAAGCACCCCCGTATCTCACGTAATTGACTTCATCTTTGGACTTTCCGTTCCTCCTGCAAATTTTAGAACCCTACCACAATAATTACGTGAGATACGGGGGTGCGCTTCCATGAAAAGTGCGACAAAATGTAATGTTTCAGAACTGAAAATTTTCAAGTAAAAATATGAATAGTTAGTGAATTGGGCGTCCTGATTCCGAATCCGAAGTGATTTTCAACCTATTTTGACTCCTAATATCATTTTCCGGAAATTGAGGTGGTTTCATGACTGTTGGCGAGCAGTGTATATCACTGAAGATGACCCCACTTGGTTATAGAGTGCATTTTTGGTATATCTCTCGCTCCAGCAAATTTCATGATCCTTACCCAACGATTACGTGAGATACAGGGGTGGCCCGCTTTCAAATGGGTCACTCTGTATCACAATGTCACGTTTTTGTTGTTTCAATAGCAATGTATAGTTTTAGCCATCTGTTCGGTATTATATTGATAACACTGCATTATGATACTCCATGAAACCTCACTTACATTGAACTGTCAAAACAGAGTTCGCCATCTTGTTACTTTCGACCTATCTTAAGTGCCTTCTTATGTGCAAGGACTGCAAAGCGGACTGTCATATGTGTATAAGTAACAATAAAACATATGAGAGAGAACAAAACGTTACTTTATTTTCAATCGAAGTTCATTTTAGTTTAATTTCTCTAAACGATTATGATATTATACGACGTACGCATACTCGCTTCTATATAGTCACCGCAAAAGTATACCACACACATCACCTCCAGAACCATTTGAACAATCATAATAAGAAGGACGAAGAATTAATTTGACTGATGGTTCAATATGCTAATGTGTTTCAATAGAATGGGTCGTAAATATAATCTTTCCAAATACAACTCGTGCCTCGAATTTTATCAGATAATTTTTCATTTTAATCACTGGAACTATTTTATTTGGAGCAAAGTCATCCTACGAATAACCGAATTGAATGATTTTTTTTTCATATTTTTGCCGAATAAATAAGTTTTTATAGGAAATGAGGAAAATTAGCGAAGGTTATACCATGCGAGTTCATCAAATACAACTCGTGCCTCGAATTTTATCAGATAATTTTTCATTTTAATCACTGAAATCATTTTATTTGGAGCAAAGTCATCCTACGAATAACCGAATTGAATGATTTTTTCTTCATATTTTTGCCGAATAAATAAGTTTTTATAGGAAATGAGGAACATTAGCGAAGGTTATACCATGCGAGTTCATCAAATTATATCGAAAATTCCACACCAAACATTTTCGATCATTTCAATGCCTGTATTTCGTATCATTGCCATAGCGACTAAATGAATTTCTTGGAAATTTTTTCCTAAGTGATAATTTGTTCCATTCTCTATATATACGAAACCATTCTTATCTGGCGAAAATATGACTTCGAATATGACTACTTTCTAACTCGGTTTGTACGTATGATTCTGCCTAAAATATAATAGTTTGAGCGATGAAAATAAAAAGTAATCACATGGGATCTGAGAACTTCTCTCATCAGTTTCATAAAAAGACACTGGGAGATTTCACTAGTCAAATAAATTGATTTCACGTCCTTCTATTAATAATCTAATGGTTGCGACGATGCTTACGTCGTATAATATAATCTTCAGATGAACTGAAACATTCTTTGGTGGCATAGTTGAATGTTACCTCATACCTTGTTCGCCTGTCAGCTGTTTTTCTGGTAACCCCAAAGTTGCTGCTTGCACAACTGCTGGTTCACTCCGACCCTTCGAATTGTATGAAAAAAGAGTTAGCTGATACTGGGCTCCTGCTTGTAGGTTTGTTACCAGGAATCTGGCAACAGGTGATGTCAAGTTGGTTCTGATTTCTTGACTCTGGCTCTCCCTCACCTGAATCAAAATTATCAATCGTCAATCTTACTTCATTGAAATATGATCCCTGTAGCAGGATTTCGAAAGCTCAAAGATGATACTATTTGAAGATGAAAATCTCATGTGAACATTTCCCGATATACAGGGGATGTGATAGTTTTTTATATTTTTCTGTAATTCTCAAGTTTTGCCACTGACATAACATATCTAATGGAAGCTTTTGATCATTCCAGGTCTTCTATTCAATTATTATGAAATGTCAAATATACTGGGTTTGATAAATGAAGTTTGCTCATCACAGGAATATTTATTTTTGCATTCATTTCGAAATTCAAACAGTTTATGAAAATCATACAGGAAAGCAAATAATATCCCAATAGAACAGATAATCTAAATTGATAGATAGATTGATAGATAGATAAATAGATTTATTGGTGTTAAATGGTGTTAATATACTTTTGAGTACTTACACAAGTCATAAAAAGGTCAATACACACTTATACATGTAGCTGGACAATATACAAATATATAAGACTATCGAAATCATGTACAACATGTTGAAATATTAAAAAAAAAAACCTGGGTCTTGTTGACTTAATCATTTCTAGTTAGATAATACCAAATAATTGAAATTGTTTGTGAGATATTTTCCAATTGAGTGAAATGCTTTTGTTGAAAGATAATTTTTGAAGATTTTAGTAAAACAATTTAGATTCAAATTAACATTTTTGAGTTCATCCGGGAGTACATTGTACATTTTGGGTGATGTTTATTAATTGAAAGCAGAGGCAGCTAGCAACAAAGTTCACGAGGGTTAAATTGAGTACAACCATCAAAAGTCAAGTGAATCAAAATTGCCTGATAGCTCCAGATATTTATTGAGTTTTTAAGGAGAAAGCTTAAAAAACATTCAAGAAATCTCAAACTTTCACTGCCTGTATGGTAAAAACGAGGCGCTCACGAATATGTTTTCACAGAAACTTTCCGTCTTGAAAATATTTGTTCTTCAATCTGTTGAAACTGACTCACCCTCTATAAACATTGAATAGTGAATGTGTTTTTGAATATTTTTACTAACGCTCACCATAACCATCATTCATAACTCATTCATTCAACATTCAACATTCATATGGAACATTTCATCATATTCTCGTTATTGAATTCCTCATATTATTATGTCTCGAGTTTGCCAGATATACATGAGATGTAGAAATTCACAGAAAATATTCGATTGCTCTCGGAATCCAGCAGAGAGTGCATTGAGAATGACCAGAAATAGACTTGCAATCTACTATTGAGTTGGATTGAATCATGAAACACAGATGTTCAAAATCGAAATAACGGAACTCGTAGTCTACTTTCAAGTTTATAATATATGAAGTTAGGAAATATTTGAGCTTTCCAGCTATTTGGCGATCCGTCTAAACAACGGTTTCCATGAATCAGTTTTGGGAATCGAAATAAGAACTGAACATAACTATCTAACCATCGTTTCCTACTTCCATATCTTCATCTTCATTCAGAAATAAAATATCATTGTACAAAATATGTGCGTTAACTGAAATCAATATAGGGTGAGTTATTTTGCTGTAGCAGGATTTTGAGAGCTCAAAGATGATACTATTTGAAGATGAAAATCTCATGTGAACGTTTTCCGATATACAGGGGGTGTGGAAGTTATATATATTTTTCTGTATTTCTCAAGTTTTGCCACTGAAATTTATACCATATCTGATGGAAGCTTCTGATCATTCCAGGTCTTTAAGTCAATTATTATGAGATGTCAAATAGACTGTGTTTGATAAATGAAGTTTTATCATCACAAGAGTATTTATTTTTTCATTCATTTCGAAATTCAATCAGTTCACGAAAATCGTACAGGAAAGAAGAGAATATCCCAATAGAACAGATAAACTGAATTGATGTTTATTCATTGAAAGCAGAGGCAGCAAGCAAAACAGTTCATGAGGTACAACCACCAAAAGTGAAGTAAATCAAAATTGCCTGATAGCTCCAAATATTTATTGAGTTTTTAAGGAGAAAGCTTGAAAAACATTGAAGAAATCTCGAACTTTCCCTGCCTGTATGGTGGAAACGAGACGCTTACGAGTATGTTTTCACAGAAACTTTCCGTCTAGAAAATATTTGTTCAAGCTGTTGAAACTGACTCACCCTGTATGAACATTGAATAGTGAATGTGTTTTTGAATATTTTCAGTAACGCTCACCATAACCATCATTCATAACTCATTCAACATTCATATGGAACATTTCATCATATTCTCGTTATTGAATTCCTCATATTATTATGTTTCGAGTTTGCCAGATATACATAAGATGTAGAAATTCGCAGAAAATATATGATTGCTCTCGAAATCCAGCAGAGAGTGCATTGGGAATGACCAGAAATAGACGTGCAATCTTCTATTGAGTTAGATTGAATCATATGAAACACAGATGTTTAAAATACGAAATAAAGGAACTCGTAGTCCACTCTCAAGTTTATATGAAGTTAGGAAATATTAGTGCTCAGGAGCTTTCCAGCTATTTGGCGATCCGACTAAAGAACGGTTTTCATGAATCAGTTTTGGGGATCGGAATGAGAAATGAATATAACTATCTAACCATCGTTTCATACTTTCATATCTTATATCACATTTATGGTGAATTGGTGATAAGTAGAGTTTTTGTCGTCGACTTCTAGCAGAGAGGAATTTCTTTCTAATATATTTTTAATTAGAAATTTTTTCTAATTGGTTATGGTCAGTGGTAGTTTGACGCCAAATTCACATCAAATATGCTCTTATAGCCACATTGAGTTTGAATATACATGCTGGGCGCCGCCCACTGAGGGCAAGTGGAGGCGCCCCCTTGGAATTTGGCATTTTTAGTCTATATACAGGGTGGCATTGAAATAAGTGCAAATATTTCAAACACTAAGAAAGCTCGACGTGTATAATCGAATGGCACTAATAAAACAAAATTAGGAATCAAACTAAAATTTGAGGTTAGACCATTTTTTTCCACCCAAAGTTCTACACTGTAGCAAATCTGACGTCACCTCTGTTCAAATTTCCATGTGGTAGGCACAATCACACGGAGTTCAATCATTTAAATTGTTTTAAAGTGGTGTACTTGATTTTTTTCCATATTTTGTTCAATTCAATTCTGGAATAAAAATTCTCGTCAATTATATGAGAATTAGGAGAAATCTGATCATGGGAATATTCCTTAGACTGTATCATATTATCAATGTACTGAATATGTTCACTTATTTCAAAAACACCTTGTATATTAGACACTATATGTTGGTGAAAAGAGATAGTTTGATTTATATTTCTGTTACCTACAAATGCATATTACAATAATAATTCAAAATGTATTCACGTACAGTCGTTTTCAGAGAACATGTCGCAGCACATGGACGGTGTCAACTCTCTTAATCCAACCACGCCATGTTCACTGAAGACGAGTGTACATAAATTTTCAATACAAAAAGTCTATTGAATTGAATTCAATTCACCAAAGTGTTTCAATATTTGTTAACAGTATATTTTTCGAGGATAATGTCTCTTGTTCTTCGATTTTCAAAAGAAGTGTGGTGATAGGAGGGTCTTCTCCAATCAAACTCACCGTATATGTGGTTATTCAATTATTGTTGATGTTTCGAAAATTAATGAATTTTCCATTTCTTCCTGAATTCAGATAGTTTGTTAACTAAAAAGTCAATCACAATGAGACTGTGTCACATTTTTAATATTTTCTTTTACAAATTTTATCAGCATGGATGCTCTGTTACGGTTTATTTACATTGTAGTTTCTAATTCATCGGCAGCTCAACACTTCATTCGAATCTTGTTCCTGGGCCTAGGTATTGAGAACAGCTCGCAGTGGGAGAGCGTTCGAATCAATCAATCAAATCATTAGTAGAATTGCCTAGGTTGTGGAACTATGATACGTCATAGCACCAAGATTTATAAACTAGTTCTCGCGCATTACCAAGCGCCAATTATATGAATTCTCTCATTCGAGGCCACATGCTATCGTCACATTGAAAAGCACCTCTTGAAGAATTTCGCCTGCAGAATAATTCTGTTCATGCTTGTTGTTGTTCTTTCCCGCTCGTTGGTTACTTCGTATCAATCATGGAAAATAATTTTTTCCCTGAGTTGAATGAAATAATTTAGTTGATTTATGTATGCCATTGGCAGATTTGAGAGTCACTCCACAAACATGAGCAACTATCAGCAAATAGGACTACTGATAAACATCAAGGCGAGCCTTTGGACGAATCAGAAGAGATTTCATTCGCAGATGCAGAGTATGTTCCAGAAATCACGGGAAGCATGTATTGTAGAAGTAATAATAATACAGTTCTTATTGGCTGAAGTTATTGCCAAGAGTTCAATTGTATCAACTTTTTCAGTGGATGGAACTCTCGATGGAACTACATGATTTTAAGAAGAAATAAAAACAGGAATGTCTTTTGAACCATCAACAATTGGAAACCACATATACGGTTAGCTTGAATGGAAATGAGACCCCCTACCAAACGACTTCTTTTCGTCCTTGACTCTTGGACACCCTGTATCACGTTGATTTTTGATAACAATTATTTCTTCATGCGCCTGTGACATTATTGATTCTTTTGATTTTGTCTATGCGTACTCTAATTCAAGCATCTAACTAATCGAGTTTCATAGAAAATTATTATCATCATGTATGTAGTATATATGTGCTTGAATTGTCACTAATTTCATCTGCATGCTTGTACAGCGATTAGTACAGAGACATTCTCATTGAAACACGTTCCTACATAACTATAACTTTCGGTTCCACTAGAGAATGCTCTAGTTTTCATATGAGTATGTGTTGGAACATTGTAAACTTTGTTTCACATTATTTGTCTCTCGCGTTCATCAAAATAGAGCCACAGGCATATGTTATGAGAGCGAACCGTTCAACTGCATTGTATAGAAGAGAAAGGCGCATGCATATTACAATTTCATCATGTCATGATGTTATGAAATTAATGAAGGAGGTAACTCCTTTGCTCATATTAAAATTATTGGAAGTTCGCGGCGTCTTCGACAGGATGTTGATGTTGGCAATTTAAAATAATTTTTCCTCGTGTGTTCAAATGTTCGATCAATGAAATCTTCCCCACATTCACTCACCTCGAGGAGAAATGATTGGGAAAGTCCTCCATTGAATCCCTCTGAACATCTGATGGAGAATGATGTCATCGAAATGTTTGAGACTGTGCAGTTATGTGCTTGATCTGGGCGACCTGGAAAATGTTGAAATCACTTATTACCACAATAATTTTTCAGATCCAATCACATATTCTGAACTTCCTCTTATGGAGTTTCATCATTTTATCATAGAGGCTACGTGTTTCGCGGAGATTCTGAATTCCATAAAAATTTCTTGCTTGTCTAGTCTAGTTTGTACATATTTTATCTCTTGACAATTTTTAATAACTGTAACCGTTTTCCCGTGGTACATCAATGAATTGAGAAACGCAATTTCCAGCGCCTCGATTTTGTCCCTACTAGTGTGACGTCATGAAAGCGATGCTCCGGCCCGGTGAGATAGAGAAGGCTCTGGTTGACATCTCTGCCCTTACCTGCAGGGCACAGATCCAGATTCATCTGGACAGGGAAACCGTACTTTAACGAATCAAAGATCCGCATCAACAGTGCGAAAACTGAAGTTATTTACTTTCATCAAGAACGGAACAATTTCACGTTGAGCAGACCTTTGATCGTCAAAGGGGTTGAGGTGACAGACATATCCCCCGTGAAATAGCTGGGAGTCAATTTGGACACCCATATGTCGTTCAGGGAATACACTGATTATCTGATAAAGAGAACACAAAACGCAATCAAGAAAATGTATCCATTGTTACCCAGGACCTCTCCTCTCTCGGTGGAGAATAAGGTCCTGGTGTACAAGCAAATTATCAGGCCTAAAATTTGTTTTGTTCTATCCGTCATTCGGTTGCCCCCTCACGAGCAACCCTCAAAAGTCTTCGAAAGTCTTGTGCGAGCAAGGAATGACGGAGGCCTTACCTTTTAACGTGTGATCCCAAACACTTTCTTGGGCCATCAGAAAAATTTCTGCAGTCGACAAGGATCGAACCCACGACCGGCAAGCGAATGCGAATTAGAATATAGACACTCTGTCCGCACGGCTACCTGGCCTGTAATGACATATGCATGTCCGGTGTACTGCAGCATTCCGCCTACTCATATGAATAGGTTACAGGTGCTGCAGAACAAAGTACTCCGTATTATCACCAACGGTGATAGATACTCTCGAGTGGCAGATCTCCATGAGAGATGTGGTAATTTGCCTAGAATCAGCGAGTACATCCTGACAATATCTACCAGATTCTACAAAAACCAAATCGCTGAAAGTGACCTTACCCGGAATATCCATGCAGTCAGACAACACCACAACATCCGCAAAAAACACGGGCTGATATATGTATCAACCGTTGTTTTCAGGGAACCTGAGAATCTATAGTCGGGAATCTTCCGGATTCTCGGACACGTCCGAGACACCGGGAACTAGAAAACGTGTAGGTCCAGCTGTCCGAGCAAAACTAGGAGGAAGTTTTTTGTTTCTATACATTTTATTTCTTCTCCAAAAACCGGAAACACTTCCTGCACTGATCACGTATGAGCAACTTCCATACCCCACTGGGTACCCACAGTGGGATTACCTTTATAAAGGGCCTAGCCCTAGTAGATAGGTCTCTGCGAAGAACACTCCACAAATCCTCTCACATCCCTTGGCTAACACCAGCCCCCTCTGCGCCACGCGGAGGGACATCTAGGGGCACTGCCAGATCGAGGCTCCAGTACAAAATTATACATGTTGTGTTAGAAATTTGCGTTGCAAATGAAAAAAGATGAGAAAAATAAACGACTTTAATACTAACCTGCAGCGATGATGTGGAAGACGCACGGCACCCTCTGCGACCCGATCTTGTTGGTGCCGTAGCACAGCAACGTGCCGTAGTCCAGCTCCGACATGGGCGTGTATGTGACCACGCTGGACGTGCCGGTACGCATGATGAAGGAGGATGCGACGTCCACCGAATCGGCGGAGTTGTTGAACGTCCACTTGAACTGGACGTCCGCGGGGTTGGCGTCCACTTGGCATACGATCTGGGCTCGCTCCTGCTTGGCCACGCCGTAGATCCTGGTCTGGTTGGGTTTGCAAACCGGCGTGTCTGCAAGAGAATGTATACAGAATGATGATCAAATCGATATTACATATAGGAATTATTGAAAAGGATGGCATTTAGCAACGTGGCAGCAGCGGTCGCATAATGAATTTCAGTTACTTTCTCCCAGCATACACAAATACATATCTGATACACAACAACCATATATTTCTGTTTTCGTCCGATGTTGCAGACATATTAGTTGTAAATTTCCGCCTCCCTGAATATTTCCTTTATACCAGGTGACACAGGAGACATGTAACAGCCTGTAGGTTTTTTATTTGGAGAGATGAAAATTTGAAATTCACAAGGGTTAAATAATCGATGATGGCGCTTTCCTAGAATCCGATGAAAATTTTTTTCAACCACCTGTTTGATTGAAAGTAGACCTAGTTTTTTTTCTCCAAACGGCACCCTGTATATTTCTGATGTTTATCTTATGCGCCTTGGAATTCTTTATTCAACTATGTATCACAATTTGATATTCATTCATTGATTGGCTGTTAAATTGCATTTTATTAAAATACATGAACTTGGCTGTGGCCCGAATACAATGACAATTCGATGCTTGATATGCATAGAAATCCAAAGATCATCACTCAGACCATCATAATCAGAATATTTTCCATACTCTAATCGGTGTCAGAAGATTGCCAATAATTTCATCGAGTTCAAAATAACTCACGATATTAGGACGATACTTCAATTATCACAACAATTTCAGTTTCATGTAGCCAAATGGATGATCATATTATGGCTACATGGCAGAAAAGAAAGACAAATAGTTTCTTCAGCCAAATGAAAAATTTGAGTTTCTATCTTAGTTTTCTTGATATCGTGAGTTATCTTCAGATGATTTTTTCAAACTCAATGAAATTATTGGAAATCTTCTGGGACCGATTAGGGTATGAAACATATGCTGAAAATATCGTCTTAGTAATGATCTTCGGATTTCTAAGCCTATCAAGCATCGAAATGTTATTGCATTTGGGGAATAGCCAACTCCATGTATTTTAATGAAATGCAATTCAACAGCCAATTAATAAACGAATATCAAATCGTGATACATAGTTGAAGAGATATTTCATCGATATCATCGATAATATAACCATTGTGAATTCCAAATCCGTATCTCTTCAAATAAATGAAAAACTACAGACTGTTACATGTCCCCTGGGTCACCCATTATATCTGTAATATGTTGAGTGTTTTTGACGAAACATTGCATACATCAATCAGATTCATTACACGTGAGCAGTTTGATCTAATAATGATACCTATATGAATGTATCAGAATGATATATGTTAGATGAATCTGAGATAACGTATTTGTTCATTTCGAGAAATATACTGGGATTTGACTGTCGGCAGCTTTATTGATAACTTTGTTATCATTGAAGATACAATATTTGTCACATTACCAAACTATCAGTACCTATCAGGGTTATACAAATTGAGTGTCCACCAAAGGTAACTAATAGCTTCATAGCAGATATGTTGCATGGGGATGTTTCTCTCGGAACACTGATGAGCTCAATCTGCCACATGGTAGACATATGTGTGTTAGCTGGGCTGTTAGTTATTCCGAAGAGACTAGCCGGATATGTTCGATAGCCGAATTAGGCTCATGCTAGTAGACAAACGATCTGTATAAACAGTAGATTGTTTATATCAACTGAACTGTACCAGTTGTAGTGAAGTGAAATATGCTCGGAAATATGTTAGTTCGATTCTGGAACGGTTTGTTACTTCAAAGATCAAATTCCTGAAGATGGTTAACTTACTGGAATTCGTTTGTCGCATTGACTCAAGACAGCGTTTTTAGCTTCTCCATAACGCTTAGTCCTAGGTGAACACGGGTGCAGCGGTGCGACTTATGAAAAAAGTGTTTCCACAAAAAAATCAGTCTGCTTCAACTTCAACTTCGTACATAACTTTCTCTTCGTAGGATGAACCGTAGGAAATTAATAGGAGCTGATCCTTTATATTTCCTTCTAAAGTGGCAGAAGGCGACGACCTCCCGCAAGGTCGAAAACTTGGATTTCTCATCGGAGACCCGAACTAAACAATATATACCGAAATCAATACTACTCCATCTTTTGCATAGAGCTCTCTTATGATTGGTCTATTCGATCTGCTCATAAGTCAAGGTTCAGATGATGAAATTCACCATGAACTGACCTATTTTTATGGATTGTATGAGTGGTTGCTCGTCTCCTTTTGACTACCTGCAATATTCTTAGTTTCAATGAATTATGTTTTAAAAGAAAAAGGAACGTGTTGACGTAGAAGTTGGCATCGTCAATGAACTAGTTGGTCAAACAAGTAGTTATCAAAACGGATTTCACTTTGTTTCGCGACTTCCTGATAATGAAAAATAGCATCATTGGAAAAGCAAATCACTTTGTATTGGCCTCAACAAGTAATGGCTCCACAGTACATTTTTCGGAGAGGTAGGAAAATAAAACATAAAAATGTTTCGAAAAAAAAAAGTGAGGTTGAATAAGGATTTGAACCCGACACATCTCCATCTAATGGCATACTTTGAACTTATACATATTTTCCCTCAAATCAAAAACATCGCACATCTACAATCACATGATCACGCACATAGCCCACTTGACCATCGTAGTTGCTGCGAAAATACGTGCAAAACATAATCATACACGATCACGGAGTGGTCAACGTTATGCGCATGCGTGTCTCTAGACGCTTTAGTCCGTCGTGGTCGTATACTGTAATTTGCCACTTTTGCCAGCTTTGCCAGCTATACATTTTGAAAACGTCAGTCGGGGGTAACGGCCAGCCCCGCAATAGATGCGATGATTCGTTTCCACCGATATTACATCGGGGGTAACGGATGAGTACCGCATCATGCCTGATCACTTCCTTAACCGGCAGAATCCAGTGAACAAAGAAGGTACCGGTGAAACTTCTCAGATGTCAATGAATGAACGAGTGACTCGTCCTATACTTCTGTGGCATATGGATCTGTGCTGTCGAGAGATTCATAGGGAATAAGATTATGTGCTCTTCTCCTACTAAGAGACATCTTCAGTGCGAAATCTAGTCTCCTAACTGGAAAAAATATTTGCTTGATGCGTTTTTCCGAAACGTCACTAGGATTTTCAATTGCTAGCAAAGTTTATGAGACCACATGGAATATGCAATTGCAACGGGCGCCTAAATTCTGTTGTTAGTAGCAAAAAAGTTCTGTTGCTAAACAGACAGCTGATTATGTATTGCACCCTCTAGGGTAAGTCGAGGATAAATGGCCCACATTTGCGAAAAAAATTGTGATATCGTGTAGACCCTAGCTTCTTCAGACAGGGTCATAGTTTTAATCATCGTGGTGGTGGGAGAGCTAGCTATAAAAAATCTTAGTAGCGATTTGATATAGCTCCTCTTTGAATCCGAGTCTAAGAGTATCAGCGAGTGTTACGATGCTGATCGTCGTATAGATGAGGCGAGTTGGATTTGCCTTCAGAAGCTTGTGATTCGGAATATTTCAAACTGAAAAAAATAGTCTGTAGTAAATACCAAACGTTTAGTGAAATATGCGCCAGTCACTACATTCACTTAATAATACCACTACGTAATTGTATAATACTATACTACATCATAGTATGAAACTTATAGTAGAGAATAATTCAATTTTGTTGCATTATTATTTGATGAATGGAGTGATTGGCGCCTATTTTACTCTACTTTTTGTTATTCACTACCAACTATATTCTTTGAGTGTGGATTGGAAATATTTTTCCTGATACAGAGTGATATATCATAGTAACCAAAGGTAAGATGAGGGGTGATCAATAAAATTCCGATACCTACCCTCTCTTCTTTTCCATTGTTTCGTACGATGTTCCTCATACATGATAGGAATTTCCTTTCGTACGCATCAATATATGGAAAACAATTTCAAAAATGTAGTGAACGATAAAACTTTTGAACATTATGAGAACAAACTTTATAATTTTAGTGATATCCCAAAAAAGTTGAGCCTAATTAAGAATACATCGTTCGAATTGGTAAGTATAGCTTCTGAATGATATTTTCCAAGATATATTTTTACAAAAATTGTATCACCTTCATCCACTAGAACACCCTGTAGCTTCATAACGAGCTCTACTCTCGACGAATATGTTCTTCATTTTTATTTATCTCTTGGAGAGCAAGGAACCAAATTCCTAAAATGCGTACCTATAGGGAGGATAGGAAGAAGTGTCTGAAAGATGCATCGTTCACTCATTCCTTTCAATCAAAAATCGAATAACCTTGTGGGTATTATCGTGGTGAAGTATATGTAAATGCAGAAATCCGTAAATAAATGACAACAGCAGAAACGGTAAAGTTCATATACTTCCAACCCCAACATATAGATCTCATTTAATTGCTGATCTAAAAGGCACCACAATTGTGCATCTCTGAACCTAATTTCCTCTGCAATTTCCCTTCCAGCTAAACACCGAAAAAATAGATTCCTCTCGTGAGTTTTACGGCCGAGAGAATATTCATTATAGGTCTTATATTACGTGGGGAAACGAGGGGAAAGGCTTTTTGCTATTTATTTTATGAAATTCTCTTCGAGAAGCGAAGGACAAAGTTACTTATTCTACATGAAATGTTGATGGAGTTGATGAAAAGTGGTCGGAAAATAAAGTCTAGCATCATGATAGGGGACAACGCAGTTTTTTTATTCCAGCACTTTGACTAATTAGGCAAGAGATCTTTCGTGTCATTTATACAGGGTGTCCCATAAGGCACGGATTGAAAGAAGTGGGATTGTAGAAGGGGCTAACTTTCAATTGAACTTAACTTAATTTTTTTTCATTCCTGCCTAAAATCATCTTGTTCGTTCACTTATCACAATGAAACAATGTCACATTTTTGATTAATTTCCCAAGAAATAATTATTTTTGTATCTAGAGCGCGAAATGCTAATTTGGTGATCGGCTACGTCTCGTTAAAATAGTCGAGATGACCAAAATATTTCGCGCTCGAGT